GCAGCTTTCTGCTTTCTGTGATACTAAATCTTGCCTATCCGCTTTACTATCGCAGCTTCTTGATTCCTTGATACTAAATCGTACCTATCGCTTTACCATCGCAGCTTTCTGCTTTCTGCTGATAACTAAATCTGCCCTATCGCTTTACTATCGCAGCTTTCTGATTCCTGTGATACTAAATCGTTGCCTATCGCTTTACCATCGCCAGCTTTCTGCTTCCTGCGTTACTAATAGTTGCCTGTCGCTTACCATCGCAGCTTTCTGCTTTCTGTGATACTAAATCTTGCCTATCGCTTTACTATCGCAGCTTTCTGCTTCCTGTATACTAAAGTCGTTGCTGCCCATATTGTGTAATTTCCGCATTGCAGGGCCAGCACTCTACAAACCCAGTTTTCGCCTCTAGTCTGGATATAGACGGGCGTGTCTCTTTCCATCACGCATCGGTGATCGTCGCGTTGATCCCTGACAGGTACCCATCTATACGCAGCTGGTGGAGGTCGACAAACGATATTGTATAGATGCGCCTTTCGCTGAAGTCTTCCTTGTTCTATTGTTGTGATCGGAGCGAAAATAGCTGCTCCATGGTGATCGGTTAACAGGCCCTACTACAGAACTGCATACTGTAGAAACAATTCCGTGTTCTTGTCACCAATTAGCAGGAACTGCGGCGTCTGTAGAAGGAGGCAATTATCTCGAGAGATGCAGAAAGGAAAGTTGGAGGAAAAACGGCCTCACGTACATGCGTGTGCGTGGGCGTGCGTGAGTGCGCGCGCGTGTGCGTGCGCGTGTGCGTGCGCGTGTGCGTGCATGCGTTTGTTTGTAAAAAGAGCTGCACAAAAACCTAATCGGGTTATTGTTAAGATGGAGTGATTGTTATGTTAAGATGGGTTATTGTTAAGATGGAGTGGCGAAAACTGATTCATTATTTAATATGTGGGACATTACTTCTCGAATGCAGTTTGCGATTTAATTTCTCACTGAACAGTTTGTAGTGGTATGCAAATCGAGGTGAAGGTCCGTTGGGGTGGGGAGGAGAGGGGGATGTTGTTATTATTATATTGTAAGCATGCAGTTTAGACGGATGTATAGCTGCTCGTGACAGAAACAACACTTGGTCTCAACAATGTAGTAGCAAATAGGAATGATAGCCGGTAGTTGAGCAACACGAGATGGGAAACTGTCTGAATTGTAAGCACGGGTCGTTGCACCAAGAAGTGTGAGCGATTGGCTGTTTGACCTCGTGTGTTCTGTCACTGGTTTGGCGGGATAAATAATCTGACTATAGGAATAGTCCGGCTACTGGTCAAGTGTCTTCTGTCACTTGAGACAGACAATTCGCAGTTATAGTTATTAGTATATCAGTTATTAGAAGAGCGAGGAAGATATGCTGCCCGTGTGGTGACGCAATTCGGTGGTAATGTTGGAAAACTACGCGACGTGAAAGAAGCAGTGACGGCCTGTTTCGGGAGATAGTATACAAGAGCGAGCTCGCGTGTGGCTTACAGAGGGAGAAATAGAAACAGTAGAGTAGATCAGAGAGTCGATAGTATATAGACAGCATGAACTAACACGTTGAGTGTAGTTGTGAGAGACATAGTGACCTTGTGTGGACCGGTAGAATTGTGTTCTCGTTTTCTAATTCGTTCAGAGAGAGAACCTTGTGCTTAATTATTGTTATCTTGTTTTACGAGTAAATATTATTGTGCATTATTTCTGGCTTACTGCTTTATTCTGAGTTTTCACAGCTTAGCTCAACACCTACTGAGTTTACCTGGTTAGTTTTGGTTTACCCACTACAATACACGGAACTTATATGGAACATGCAGGTAGCAATATATCCAGCTGTGTTCCGTACGTTTATATTCTAGGTCGAGATACCACGGTAAACATTAAATTCTGTTCAGAGACTGCATTGTTTACTTTAGTAACAACTATGTTCACAAACATAGTAAATTGTAAAAGTTAGCAAGACACAAAGACAATTCTATTGGTTAAATAAATTGAATATATTTTATTAATGACTAAATAATATAACATTATTAATAATATCTTACATATTATACAATATACTATAAATGTAAAGTTACCAGCAGTGCTTAAACGTACCTACTGATCGAGTTATACTAGTTTATAGACAAATTCGTCGCATTGAGAGTATAGGTGGCAGAACAACCGAGTTCAGCTCACACGTTATGACGATTTAATAACATCGACACTTTCTTGTATAACTATATAGACACACGCGAGCGCGCCCGAACGCAGTTAGATAATATCAGAAGTAGATAATAGGGAACCGCTATTATCTACTTCTGATAATATCAAGAGCTAGTAAAGGTGTTTATTAGCTCTTGATAATATAACACATAACGAGACGTTTGTTTTACTACAATGCTAGCGCGGAACAAGTTGAAGCGGGTTCAACCCAAACATTGCGTATTTAACGCCGCGAGAATAAAATCCAGTTAAGAATTTCCGGAGAGGATTTATTATATAATATAATGTTTTTGTCTTTATATAAGAATACGCATATTACGTAGGGAGCTCTATAGTTCCTGAGCGTGGGGGTAACTGTAGGTGGGGTAATTGTTAACCTCTATTCCTTATGTCTCACATGCAAACAGCGGGGATATTCATATGAGAGAGAGAGAGAGAATAAAGAGAGGAGAGAAGTGAGAGAGAAGAAGGAGGAGAGAGAGAGAGAGGAGAGGAGAGAGAGAGGAGGAGTAGGGAGTGAGCAGAGAGAGAGAAGAGAGAGAGAGAGAGAGAGAGAGATAGCATAAATTACAACAGCGGTTACGATCATGCGCTGGTACTGGTTATGCCCTTATATAGAAATATGGATGCACAACCAGCATTACTATCATTACGAGACTTTACCCATATTTCTATATAAGGGCATAACCATGCAGTACCAGCGCGTGATCGTTTACATATATAGTTATCATCGTTAGCATGATTAAACGCTAGTGACAAAACCCAGCGATCAAGTTGTCATCCCGCTGACAGCCGCGTTCACATGAAAAATGTGTGCCAGCGGTTTAGGCAATTCATAACCACACAAAGATGGCGTCGTACTCGTCACCGAGCGACGGAATTAAGGCGGACCGGTTCACGCATAGCAATCATCTCAACTAGAGCAATGCGCGCCTTTCTGTTTGCCGATAGAGTTTGTTATACGCAGGAGGATAACGGGTCGGTTAATTCACACCAACGAGTTATTTCGAAGCGGTTAGACTGTATGTTAAACACAAGTTGCACCTTTTGGTTAAGAATGATCGCTTTTTGAAGCAGACCGTCTGCGTCGTGATGGCGCGAGGGAATGTACCCAGCCTGTTCTGCTAGCTTCTATGGCAAATACGACATACGCATATACGCTCTCCTATGACACTATTTGTCATAAGAAGATTCTTCCTATGACAAATATTGTTGTATGTGTTGTGCGCATCAGAATAAGAGTTTAAGAGCGCGATTATGAACGTAATTTCAGTGAATTTGAGCTGTAAAAGGGAACGAAGTTGACTCGCCAATATTTGTCATAGGAAGAATCTTCCTATGACAAATAGTGTCATAGGAGAATGTATATATGCGTATGTCGCATTTGTCATAGATGCAAGCAGAACATGTTGCAACATACATGGTTTGCGCCGGATCAACATACCCAGGATCCCGTTGTCAGAAACATAATAATATGATTATATAGTGTCATAACGTTTACAAGACATCAAACTTGAAATTTATCACATTTTTTACGTATATGATTAACTATATAATTATGATGTTTTTGACAAGGGACCACTGGTTTGTGTACACATGTCGAGCATGCTTGCTTGTCCCTCTATTACATGAAGCTAATTTTGTCCGTGAATGATAGTCACGCAAATACTAAAATACCGATGTGCCGTGTCACAGTGTCTACATTAGCAAACACCTGTTTTTCAGTAAACATGTTTAGTCATTTTTATGCCGACAATAGCATGAACTCCTGACGTTAGATACACTCACACCACGTATATATATCAATATTCGACACACGATGCTGACCTGAAACGTATATAAAATGGGAAACGTGTGTATATAGCGATTATCAAAAATTATAAAAGAAGTAGAACAGGAGAAACCTCATGGAGTATAGAGTCTGCCTGAGCAAGGCGAGGAGAACGAGAGAGATGGCTCACCGCTGTGTTGGTTTAAGACTTATACACAAGCTATAATTATTTCTTCATGGGCGGCACAAAAGATTTCAAATTGGCACGAATGAGGAAGTGAATATGAAATATCTGTCCAACTGTTCTTACTCTCACGTGCAAGTGCGTGCTTGCTTGCTTGCGTGCGTGTGTGTGCGCGCGCGGAACATTTGCCTCTCGCGCCTCATGCGAGTATTCAATATGCTAGAAATAGGAGAAGGAGAAATGATGCATTAGGGGGAGGGGTTGAGCCATTAGAATCGCACCATCCCTACACCATCTACAAAGTCTGATCATGCGCGGTAACAAATAATGCGTAGACTGATACAAATGTTGCATTGTTCCAGATAACACTGGGGTCTGTTGTCAGAAACATCAAAATGATTCATCACATGATTCATCACGAGTAAAATCTCATTACTGTTGCAAGCGCATGAAGTGTTGTGCAAAGGTAATGACATTTTAGACTTATGATAGCCATATATATATATATATATATGTTGTGTGTAGTGGGGCGGGGGGGGGCGTGTGTGTGCAGTGATGTGTTGTGTGTGTGTGCTGTGGTGGTGTGTGTGTGTGTGTGTGTGTGATGTGTGTGTGTGTTTGGTGTGTGTGTGTGTGTGTGTGTGTGTGGTGTTTGTGTGTGTGGTGTGTGCGTGTGTGTGTGTGTGTGGTGTTTGTTGTTATGTGTGTTGTGTGTGTGTGTGTGCGGTGTTGTCTGTGTGTGTTTGCGTGTGTGTGTGTGTGTGTGTGTGTGTTGTGTTTGTGTGTTCGGTGGTGTGTGTGCGTGTGTGTGTGTGTGTGTGTGTGTTGTGTGTGTGTGTGTGTGTGTGTGTGTGTGTGTGTGTGTGTGTGTGTGTGTGTATGTGTGTGTGTGTGATGTTTCCGATATCGAACCCCCGTATTTTACCTGTTACTCATCATGCAACGACATACGCACTGCGGCACGCGCATCTTTCTCACATGCGAACGTTGAGTGGCACGAGATTGACGGGCCGCGAAGGCTGCGCACACATTTGCGGCAAACGCTCCTGTGACCAACCTCGCCCGCGCTTGTGCTCGTGCAATGCGTCATGACGCTGTGTCGCGTCGTGACCGAGACGCGCACTGCGTCGCAGGTGGGCGTCGAGACCGTGAGGTGCGTCACGACCGTGAGGTGCGTCACGGACGTAGGCTGTGTCACGACCGTGAGCTGCGTCACGAACGTAAGCTGCGTCACGACCGTGAGATACGTCACGAACGTAAGCTGCGTCACGACCATGAGATACGTCACGAACGTGAGCTGCGTCACGACTAATGGCTGCGTCACGGCCGAATGCTGCGTCACGGCCTTGAGCTGCATCACGAACGTGAGCTGTGTCATGACCGTATGCTGCGTCACGACCGTATGCTGCGTCATGACCGTATGCTGCGTCACGACCGTAGGCTACTTCGCGACCGTGAGCTGCGTCGAGACGCTGAAATGCGTCGCGTTCATCCAACATGTATCGGCGTTCGAACAGCTCGTCCAGCTTCTGATTCAGATCGGGCGTCGACGCAAACATGACGCGGGTCGGTTGGCGTCGCATCTCGCCGAAGAAAGCAGGCTGCTCGTAGTTACGGGGCCGCCCCGCTGCCGGCTGCAGCTCGGCAATGTTGTCCTGCCGACGCTGCTGCTCCCTGCTGGCGTTCGCCGCACTCATGATGTGCCGCTGCTCGGCGTCGGTGGGGCGTCTGTGATTGTGTTGAAGCATGCGCTGATACTCCTCTTTGCCGATGTTAGCGTGCTGCATCGAGGGATCGTGCATGGGAGGCGTGCCCCCATCGCACCTGCGGGCGTACGAGTTCTTAGTACCCTCCGAGAACTCGACGGACTTTGCGTGGTGGTCATCGATGGGGCATTCAGGGGGATCGGTGTAGAGATATGACATCATCGGGTGATCGGGCCCAGCGTGGAACGCTCTGGCAGATGACCTGGTCAACTGGTCATCGTGGCGTGGTCGGAGAATGCCTCGATGAGCGGACACCTCCTCGGCCGCGGATCTCATTCTGCGAGTCGACGATGGCTCCTGCATAGCTGTGTTCTCGTTCTCCCACAGGCTGCGCACTTCCTTCTGCCTAAGCGGGTAGTCGTGATCGACACCAAAGTAGGCGCTCGCGCTGCAATCAGGCTCACTGTTAGTACCAATAGCGACATCGCAGCCACCCCTGTGCGCATCGTAGCCAGGCCTGTCTACCTCGCCTGTTCCACGAACCATCCTCCGCGCCAAGTTTTTGTCACTGCCGCCGTGTGCGTGGCTTGTTCGACCGTCACTGTGGCGACTCTGTGCGCGGTCGCAGTCGTATTCCGGCAGTCTCATACCCTGTAGTAACCATCCGACGTTGTTAGTGCTGGCAGAATCCTCTACGCCATCGTTTCTCCGGTTTCGCGAGTGAGATACGGCACCTCGTTTGTCGTTGGCGACCCTACCGGAGTCGTTGCCAGAGGGCGTGAGCACTTTACCGGGCCAGCGACGCAAGATGACGTCATGAGCACTGCCGGCGTTGCCATGGTTTTTGATTAGCTGGCGTTCGGTGGCGGGCTGCGGCTGTTGCTGCTGCTGCTGCTTCTGTTGCTTTTGCTGCCACTGTCGCTGCCCCTGCTGTTGCTGTTGCGTGAAGGAGACAGCTGCTCTGTTCATGTACGCCTTCTCGTCCTCGGACATGTTTCCGCTGTCGACGCCCGCACTGTCGGTGCTTGACTGGCGGGCGTGGGTTGTCCCGCACACCGTCGACAGTAACGGCCTGCCGCGTAGCTCTCCATCCGAACTGCTCCCGATGCCACTCGATCGGCCTTCGAACGCCGACGTGGGCCGCGGAGGCACCGCCTCCTCTTCCTCCTCCTCTATCGTCTCCTCCTCCTCGCCCTCGTCCTCCTCGCGCACGGCTGAGTTCCCGCCGACGATGCTCACCTGGAGAGACTTGCGGTTGCGAACGCGGTCGAGCTGGCCGTGGTTGCGGCACATCGTGTCGTAGTCGCGAGGGGGCAGCAGGATCGGCACCTTCTCCGCATCGAACCTCTGCTCGAGTTCCTTCGTCAGGTCACCGATCATTGTCTGCGACACGCAGCCGTGAGACACATCAGGGAGGACTGCGGCGTCCCCCGCCGCCAGGGGTGCGTGCGGCGCTGGCAGCACGCCCTGGCGGGTCAGCTTCTCTTCGAGAGCTTCGAAGCGACGTTGGTTCTCGGGTTTGTGCACGAGCTGGTTGAGATGCAGACCTAGCCGCGTCGCCGTCTCGACGGAGTCGCAGCGGTACGAGTGCACGTGCACGGGACACTCCGTCTCCGGGTTGTAGATGAGCAAGATGGCGGAGACGATGTCGTCGTTGGGTGCCGCCTCGTGGCGGACGCATGTCACGCAGTGGTCGGGGATGAAGTACTTGATCGTGTCCGTCTTCGCCTTGCTCGTCGCCTTCTTCGTGACGATCTGCACGATCTTGACGCCTTTGTCGCACACCTGCAACGTCACCTTCGACTTGTCGTCGGTGCTCTCGTTGATGAAGTGTCGCGCGATCGGGCGAATGTATTGCTCCCCGCGCAGACCCTTGCTCTCCTTGGTCCCGAGGAACCACACATAGTACTGCGCCTTCTTGATCTCCTTTTTTCGCAGGAAGGCCATGCTGCCGTCGTGATTCATGCGCGCATCGTGACTGCTGTATATCCAGTGAACACCAGCAGCGCAGTTCTGCTGTCTCTCGCTGTCTCACAACCAACCGCGAACACCAACTTCGGTCGCAAATCTAAACGCTCAGAGTATTGCGTGGGCTGCTAGGACAGGGGTCCCGATGCATATATGCGTCGTTTGCAAGAGGGGTCGGTGACGTCGGATGGATCTAAGTACACCTGTCAGCCACCGCCTGACAATGTCTGTGAAGCGGACGAAGAGCTAGTCGCATGCGCTTCGCTGCGTTACTATTACTCATATGGGCCGTGTCACTGCACCCGAGAGTGTTGAACTGGAACGGCCAGTGGCAGGCGCGGCTTTCACGCCGCTTTATATGTAGAGCGAGCGACGGGGCGGTGCAGCCGTTTCCTTTCACCACCAACGACTAATGCCTGTACAGTGTGATCCGTCATGGCTGGCTGGACGAGCTAGTGCAACGGCGAGAGTGTTGAGCGGCAATCCTTCATCATTGGCGTGGTGATGGCACTGCAGTGAAGAAGTCTTTACTGTTTTACGAGCTTAAAAATGAGCACCGCCATAGTTGTCAGCCGAAGGAGAGGAACAACTCGTAATGAAACAGTCGAACGTAAAAATCGGACTAACGATGTAACATAGTACCAAAATACTAGAATTTACTAGTAGGGCCTACTTAGACTGGATTTTTGTGTGTCTAGAAAATTGTGAGAAGTATATGTGATAAGGGGTATCAGAGGAATGTGTATATAGGCCTAGTCCCTCATTATTTGCTAGCAAGGCCGGGATATTGGTTATATAGGTACATCTCTTACAGGTTAATTTGTCAGGTAATACTTAGAAAGCGTAGGCAAGGCTGCAAGAGAATCGTTAACAGCTAAGTTAGCCAGAAAATACTTAAGCGTATATAGACAAGGCTGCTCGTATTGAAAATTGCCAGCAGGTACATTTAGTAGGATAATTAAACATCGCAAACAATCAAACAACAATTAAATCACGAACATTAGCGCACGCGTTGTTAATTAAATGGAAATCACTATCAAAACTTAACAAAATTAATGCGGTTACTGGAAACGGTCAAACATAGAATCTACCAACATTTATTGATACATATACATTTTATACGCGGCTGTTTCAAGTACAAAGGCTCTTGAGAACAGAACGACGAGTAAATATTCACAGCGTATAGACTCGTGATCGAAATATTTATTGATGGAACAGAAAAGTTGAGGGCGAGAGAAGGAGGCGACAGAAGAGATAGGTAGGATGTGTGGAATAAAGAGGCCGTGCATGGAGAAGCATCAATGCGCAGTACGGAGGTGCGGAAACTCCAAGAAGAATCGGAAGCGGGGAAGAAATAGAGTGAATTACTGCACGGAAATAATAAGGATAAAACTAAAGGGTTACAGGACAATGATGAAAACGATGGGAATAATGATGAAAAAATGCACGGTAGAAATGTTAATTAAGAGAGATGATGACGGTGTAATAGCTAGCTAATTACATGAGGGAGGAGGCTGTGTAAAGATTCCACTCATTAACGACATGTCTAGCTTTTGCGTTACTCCTTAGTTAGTGCTCGGAAGAAACAGCATCAGGATGTTCAAGCAATTAAAAATAAATTAAATATCTTCCTTTCCATACTCAACTCCCTCCTCCTGCTACTCCACCTCCTCCTGCTACGCCACCTCCTCCTGCTACTCCACCTCCTCCTGCTACTCCACCTACTACTTTCCTCCTTTTCTTCTTTTCTGTTCTCATTCTCCTTCATCGTTTTTTCTTCTGGCTATTCCTACCGCTCATTCACCTTTTTCTGTGTCTGCTCAATCTCCTCCTCCCCTCCTTTTCCTCTTCTTCCTCCTCCTCTTCTTCCTCCTCTCCCTACTTTTAATTTTCTCCTACTCCTACGCCCTTTTCATTACGCCTTTTCCAACACAATCGAATGCATTTCGCATGATTCTTACGCCGTTTTATATTTCATACAAATCCGTTCGAGCGCACATCCGTTTATCTATAATTATTAATGTTCGTCTGATATACAAACTATTATGGGTTGCTTTCATCACACCAAGTTCAAGTTAAGTGAAATCCTTCTCGCGCTTATGTGGCGCATACATAAGGCGGTGCCTATAACGACCACACTAAACGACCTCATTATTTATATCCGCAATTTGCAATGAGATGCCACCAGTGGTGCACGATCATATGTAATTATTGTGGCGCAGCGCACCTACGGCGATGTATAAGCTGACAATGCGATGCCGAGCGGCGGTATATTCACCCCTCTACATAGATCCGGAGTGTTCTATTCACTGTAAGCCACTGCTACGCGATATGTTGACCATTTGTGAGCATCTATTCACGCTGTTTCGTCGGTGCTGCAGGAAATTTCGGAAATGAATAGTTGTCTAATGAATAATTGACATGTTAGGCCTTCGGTGTCTCGGCAGATAATAGTACAACCGTATATATTACTTGCCTTCGTCATTGTCGTGGACATTACTAGCGACTAATAACACGCCGATACAATTCGACCGCCTGCAGTGTGTTCGGATATGTTGAAAATCCTTTATTTTTCTGATGTAAATTCTTAATGGCGAAGAAATTATATGCAAAACGAACGACAGATCGGTTATGCGATATCATATATTATGCAGACGCGTTATATTTCGCATCGATATGTTTCCGGTACTCGCGACGTTTACTCGGTAAAATCTGCCCGATTATTTTTAAATTCTGACCCTGTTTCGCCGCATACACAACATACACTTTATTCATGTTAAATAACTATAGATGCATGCTCTATGCTCCGCTTGAAACTTTTGCCGGCTCTATGACGCGGATTTCTACAAAGTAGTCTGATCACATTTCAAACACAAAGATGACCAACCGGTCACCATGGCTACGCTACTTGACGGAATCTCACAGCTACACGACAAGACCAATTTTACTTCTAATGCTTTCTAGACTTCCACGATGCATCTAACTTGCGTGCATAATGCAAAAGAGTGCAATCTAGTGACGAATTTTACCGAAAAAAAATGCCAAAAAAGCTTTTTCTAGAGACCAAATAGTGCGGAGGCTTACTGTTGTATGCTTCCTATAGTAGCACGCCTACGGTCAGTTACTATGAGCATCGCAGCAGATGCGCACCTGCGCAGTCGCCAAAAACGCAGCGGGATAGCGAATCAGGAAATTATAAAGGAATCGTAGAAACATTGGTCAGTTGCGCTCTGGCTCAACGATGCTCATTCACATCCACTCATTCGCACCACGATGACGATCTCTCCACATGTGTAGACAGTCTCCGGTACGAGTCATAATTCGCTATAAGGAATTCTTTATAATTCTATAAAAGTTTCAGCGGCACATTGCTCACCTTAAAATAATCCCCCTGACAAAGAAACTGCAGCCACGAGAATATTGACATGAATAACACCGCGGCGCACAACCTGCGTTTGCAAGTTCGCAAAAAGAAAATTTGAAAGCTTTTGGGAAATCTATCGTAAACAACAAAGGAGTTACGACTGCCGCGGTTAGGTGATCGCGGTAGTCGTTCGCATACGTATATAATTTGTCGCGGGTTACTCGCATTAGTCTACTGACTGATCTCGCCCGCTTGCCAAGATGCAGATAGCGAGGCAGATCGGCTTGCTGATGCTGCTCGTCTGGTCGACGCACGAGACTGTGTACATTCCCGGAGTACCGGACACGCACATGACGAAGCCGGGCCAGCTGAACCTCGCCGCCATCATGCCGGTACACGTCTACGACGCGACGCAGGCGTGCGGCGCCGACGTCACGTTTCCGTGGATCGTGCCGACGGCCTACGCGATCGAGTATCTCGTCGGCGTCATCAATGCCGACCGCCGTCTGCTCGCCGACGTCGAGCTCGGGTATACGATATTCGACAGCTGTTCGAAGGACATCGTCGGTATGGCGAAGGCGCTGCAGCTGGCACGCACGTCGCCGGAGTGCTCCGGAGCTCTGCCGACGGTCGGCTGTGATCACGCCCGCGTCGTCGGCGTCGTCGGCGCCTTCTTCAGCCACACGAGCGTGCTGGTGGCGCGCGTGCTAGGCCTGCTGCAGATTCCACAGGTAATGCCAGGCGTGTATAGTATAGAGAGATGTAGAGTATATATATATATATATATAATATTAAGAGCTAATAATACCTTATTAGCTCTTAATAGCTCTTATTGGCTCCTAATATGTATATTATTAGCTCTTGATAATATAAGATTCAGATGCAGATTCCAGATGTAGGCCTAATATCAGCAGTATAAAACTTAGAGATATATATAGAGTGTATAGATATATAACATACAGATTCAGGTGCAGATTTATATGCAGATTCCAGAGGTAATATCAAGAGGGTATAATATAGAGAGATATAGGACCTTAGGATTACCCTTTTAGATTATATATAGAGTGTCTATATATATAATATATATATATATATATATAGATATAGAGTGTATCTACATTATACACCACAGGTAATATCACACACGGTAGATAGAAACATGGCGGAGAGCCCGCTAGAAGTGCAGCTGAATCTAATTATTTCAATAGGGTTTAATTTTTATGGAAAACGCAAGCCTATCACAGGGAAACATTATATTATTTTTATTAATTAGCTTATATATAATACAACTCACGTCATAGGTATAATGTTATGTTATGTTATGTTATATTATATTATAATTATATTATATATATATATATCTATATTATAGTATATTTATATATTAATTATATTATATTATATATATATTATAATTATAATATATTTATTATTATATTAATATTATATTAAATATTATATTATATTATATATATTATATTATATGTATATTATATTATATGTATATTATATTATATTATAATTATAGATATATATTATATATATTATAATTATATTATATAAATATTATATTATAGTTAATATATAAAAAATACAGAATAAATAACTGAACTATTTATTTGCTTATTTATTTATTTATTTATTACATGTCGCTGTAGTATTATAGCGTTGTGTGAATTTGATAACCGCCGACGCTCGCTCACGGGTCGATATGCTTTCAAGCACTGTAGATGGCGGCGTCTCTTTGAAAACAGAATCTGAACAGAAAACAGATTGTGAACAACACTCGTGACAACGTGCGTCTACGTGCAGTAGAGCTGACCTTGCATTTCTGGCGATTCCCCGCTAAAATATCACATCACCGACTTTGGAGTGTTCGTCGCTCCACACGTCAAGGCCCGCATCGCGCGACACGTCGGCGAAGTCCGCGTATAGGCCCATGAAGTACGCTAATATAGGTATATACACGCATATATAGGACTCGTATACTATTCATGGGCTTATTTGCGTTATGTAGGCTTATATAGTATCAAGAGCGTATAAAGAAGGAGAGCGTAACATGCAACGGTGAGTGGTGAAACCATGTTGCAGTATTAGTCAATTATTTTGACGATTCTTGGCGGTATTATTGATAAGCTGTCCTACCTTGTTAATAATAACATTTAACATTCCGCTTGTTTCTACGATCTTCTTACGCTGAGAATAGATGAGTGGTGAAAAATCTGGTATTGTCGCCGAAAACCGACTCC